GCAAACAGCTCCAAATCACCTGAAAACAACTGAGAAATGCAATATGTATGCAAAGCTATCCTAATCATGCAAAGTACGCAAGAATGATAAGAAATGATATAAAACAGTGATGAATGATACGAAACTGGACTCAAAACGATGATGAATGGACACTGAAAACATGCAAATTTTAGACATATCAACTCCCCCAAACTTAGTCTTTGCTTATCCTCAAGCAAATAAGAAGACATAGTTGAAGGCGAGGTTTGAAGGCGGGGACTCAGAACCAAAGCATCAGGTAGAGCAAATAAAATCAATGTCCAAGTTGGTAGTTCTAAGATGCGATATGATTGAATCTTACTCAAAAACGTTAGCCATGCCTTGTTATCAATCAATCCGTCTCTTATACTCGACCTAAATGCTTTCAAATCTACCAATCCTTTTAACATTCATTAGTTCTAGAACGTGAATCAAGCAATGCATCATCAATGAACTCATTTGGCTAAGGTGAAGGTCAAGAGACAAAGATGGTCCCTTACAGAATAGGCTTAAGTACCAGGGGATCTCTCAAGAATGATTGAGCTTTAGTAGAATGCTAAAGGTAAGTCCCAAGTTATGCATACAGAGATAAGATCCCATCTACCCAGAGTATAGCAATGAAGCTCTAATGGTAATCCCAACTCCAGTCCCAACTTAACTCTACCCTTTGCACTCATGAATCTTCCAAACTCTTTTTTTCCATATCATTCTTTTCTTTTCTCTTAACTCTAAGAGAACCTTTCTCAACACTCTGATACATCTAGCGGATTTGGATTTCTTTAACAACTAAGGTTCCTGTTTTTAATCTTTAAACCGAAGGCTTTTAACCCTTCTTCTTTAGCTAACAAGAACCTCATTTTTTCTTTAACATTCCTAAAGCCTTCACTAGATTTTTTTTTTCTAACTTCTTTAGCTTACTTCCCCTAGAATTCTTTCCCTTTCCTTATCAACAATGAATTCACCCTTTTCTTTTAAACACATCCCAACCCATGATATAAGCGCCCACCTAGTCCTATCCAGTCCGAAGAACGCGAACTAGAACTACATGAGACACTATCTTTGTCGTTACGAACCTAACACTTTCTACCAGGCTCAATCGAAATAAGACCTCACAAACACTCACAAGTGATAAAGGGCTTGAAAGAAATTTTAGGTTTGGGTTCGGGTTAATTGCTCTAATAAGGAGAGTCAGCTACTTGGATTAACAAGAGTGGTTAAAATGAATAAGAGAATCCAAGTATTTTAGGGTATCCATGAGTTCAAATTAGATGCCAAGACATGATAATTCTAAATCAGATTCAAGTTCAAATTGATAGGGAATGGTATCAGATCCTAACAGTGTGGTCGAGTAGAGCAATCTAGGCATGGTGCAGTTTTACTTTAATTTCAATGACTACGCATCAGACAACTAACAACGAGGGCACTAAGTTTATCTGGTGAACCAAAATGCTTACAAGGCTATTCGACCAAGACTTTATCAGCCAATAAGAACAGACTGATAAAGTCAATAAACGCTCTAAACGGCCAATCCCTTGGGATAGAGATGCATATCTCAGGAACTAGTGGGTCAAGCATTCCATCGAACACCTTCTGGGTGCGGGAATGCTTGGGATCAAATTCAATCAATTCTAGTCCTGAAGGGATTCAATCAATGCTTGGGAATGCTTGGGATCGAATTCAATCAATTCTAGTCCTGATCAGAAAGAAATAAGCAGTAAACGCAACTAGTCCTGAAGGGATTCAATCAATTCTAAAACTTAACCGTTCTACAGACTACGGATTCCACAACTACTCTATCCCATCCCTAAGAATTCTAAGTCACTACTCAGACAACATGCTCAAAGACATAAACGCTATTAAATGATAATATTGCATAAGTAAAGAGATAAAGAGTAGAGAAACAAGATGACAGATGAAATCAAATGCGGAATCTGAATAACTTGGAGAAATCTCGAATTACAGGTTGCAGGAGAAAAAGCGGCGCAGCAGAGTAAAAGAGAAAATAAAACTGAAGCAAAAACTCAATGTCGACTAGATGTCTCAGGACAGAACCCTAAAACATCTATTTATACCAAACGAAATAAAATGATAGTAGACGGGCCAATATCCTAATCGCCCGGCCCATAGAATGGTAATGGGCCGAGATGGGCTTCGTGATCCGATGGAGGTCCAAGCCGCTTCCAAACACTTTGTCTTCTCCTGTTCTCTTCCTTGTGCTAAGCTTGTCTGGTTGAGTGCAGATTTGAGTAGACTGTGAAGTCGTGATCGAGTGTCCGGTCGAGTGATGGTGATGGTGGTGAGTGATGATACTCGACCAGGGGGTCGAGTAACTTGGTAGAGTGAATGGTCGAGTGTGGTCAGGTGGTGTGGCGAAGTGATACTCGACCAGGGGGTCGAGTGGCGTCATCGAGTGGCCTGAGCTGAGGATACTCGACCAGGGGGTCAAGTAGGTGGGAAGAATGGCTCCAAAGTTACTCGACTTGGGGGTCGAGTATGGTGCTGGATGCACACGACCTGGTGGTCGAGTATGTCTTCTAGTTCTGGCTCGTTTCTTCCAATTTGCTCGCAAACAGCTCCAAATCACCTGAAAACAACTCAGAAATGCAATATGTATGCAAAGCTATCCTAATCATGCAAAGTATGCAAGAATGATGAGAAATGATATAAAACAGTGATGAATGATACGAAACTGGACTCAAAACGATGATGAATGGACACTGAAAACATGCAAATTATAAACATATCAAGCACTGAATAAGGTCGAGTGACTGGTCGAGTAACAGATAGTAAATGAAACAAAGATATTCGAGTGCACAGTCTGTTGTCAGACAACAGGGTGGTCGAGTATCAGGTCGAGTAACAAGAAAGAATTGTAGAAACTAAGCAACATATGACAAGATGCAGTAAACAATAGTAGATTAAACAATAAATTCAATCAGATAAAGAATTCTCGAGGATGGGGTAATTGTGTAGTTTCGTTTCCTCAGTTTACAGGTGATTGACATGCTCAATAAATTATCCCTAGACAACAATTTCTTTAACCAAATTTAAGTGCCACCGCAACAGAGACTCTCAAGTTAACCTAGTCCCAATCTCAATCACCATTGACGAGAGCTAACCTAACAGGCATTACGAATCAACTAGTTAAAGCCAAAACGCTCCCTACAACCAATACCTTGGTACAGGGCCACAAATCTCTGGAATTAGTGGTTCAGACATTTCATCGAACACCTTTTGGGCGCGGAAATGTCTGGGCTTAAATTCCAGTTGATCAGAAAGCGATAGGCATTAAGAACAACTAATCCAGAAGGGATCTATCAATCAAACTCAACTACCCAGCATACTGAGAATTCTAAACTACTCTAACCCATCCTCAGAAACCTATTCACGACTCAGACATCATTGTAGAAAACATAAACGTTGAATGGAATGAAAACATGATAACAACAGAGTAATAGCAAGATGGTAACAGGATGAACAACAGTAAACGAATTCAAGAACAAATACTGAATACTGAATACTGAATAGATAAAGAGAAATCCGAATTATAAAAGGTCAAGAACACAGTGTCTGCGGAATAAAACTTAGATAAAAACTTGTTCTCGAAAATGTAAAGTACATGCTACTTATAGCAAAATATTCCAAAACCTTAATACTCAAAACGACGCAGTATTGGGGCGGATTAAGAACTGTACTCGACCCAGGTGGTCGAGTGAGAGGTCGAGTGATAAGCTGGAGTCTTCTTTTCTTTCTTGTGCTCGAGTGTCTGGTTGAGTGCGGAATGAAGAAGACTCTGAAGCTTGCAGTCAAATATGAAGTCTAGTAATAGAGATGATGGTACTCGGCTTGGTGGTAGAGTGATCGAGTGAAGGTGATGAATGTACTCGACCTTGTGGTAGAGTAGGGTGATCGAATGAAGGTGAAGTGGTGGAGGTGATGATACTCGACCAGGGGGTCGAGTGAAGTGATCGAGTGTCTCTCTTGGCGGTACTCGACCAGGGGGTCGAGTGGTGACGTGAGGTGCTGAGGTATTCTACTCGACCAAGGGGTCGAGTGGTCTGTTGAAGTCGTGAAGCATCTATTCGACCAGGGGGTCGAGTGGTTTGACATGATCAGGTCCGCTTCTTCCAGTTAGCTCGTCAGCAACTCCAAATCACCTGAAATCAACACAAATATGTAACATGCAAGCAAAACTATCCTAAACATGCAAAGTGATGACAAATGATGAGAAATGGTATAAAACAGAGATGATATGGTGCTAAAGTGATGACAAATGGATGCTCAAAACATGCAAAATACACACTTATCAACTCCCCCAAACTTAGTCTTTGCTTGCCCTCAAGCAAACAATTAAGAACAAGCTGGAGGTGAGATTTGAAAGCGAGGACTCAGAGCCAAAGCAGCAGATAAACCAGATGAAATCAATGTCCAAGTTTATAGTTCTAAGCTGCGATATGATCGAATTCTACTCAAAAACGTTAGCCATGCCTTATTATCAATCAATCCGACTCATATGCTCGACCTACACATGTTTTCAAATCTACCAATCGGTTTAACATTCATTAGTTCTGGAACTTGAATCAAGCAATGCATCATCAATGAACTCATTTGGCTAAGGTAAAAAGTCAAGAGACAAAGATGGTCCCTTATAGAATAGGCTTCAATAACAAGGGATCTCTCAAAAAATGATTAAGCTTTAGTAGAATGCTAAAGGTAAGTCCCAAGCTATGCACACAGAGATAAGATCCCATCTACCTAGAGTATATCAGATCAAGCTCTAATGGTAATCCCATCTCCAATCCCAATATAAGAACTTAACTCTACCCTTTGCATTCATGAATCTTTTAAGCCCTTTTTCTAATCATTCTTTTCTTTTCTCTTAACTCTAGGAGAAGCTTTCTCAACACTTTGATACATCTAGCGGATTTAGATTTTTTTAATAACTAAGGTTCCTATTTTTAACATTTTAAAACCGAGGGCTTTTGCCCATCTTCAATAGCTAACAAGAACTCTTTCTTTTCTTTACAAATCCCAAAACCTTTGTCAGAAACTTGATAGTCTTGAAACACTTGGCGAGCAGCGTGTCCTGCTTCTTGCACCACCTCTGCAGCTTATTGTTGTTCCTATGAGCCTCACTCAAGCTCTTACTCTCCCTCGCTGGAGGTACATGTTCATCAAAATGATACATGCTAGTGTCAAACTCCACTGCTCTGTCTTCATCCAACCCATCCTCAGCAGCTTCTTCTATAAGATCATCCTCATCCAATGGCGGAGCGTTCTCATAGTAGAGGTTTCCAATCTCTGGCCGAAAATCAATGTTATTCCCCTCTATTATCCGTGTAACCTCAGGGCTAGGGAGAAGGATGCTAGCTCTCTTATTTGTAGAGTGCTCAAACCTGAAGCGGTGCAAGTTGCCAACCATTGCGAACTCCAGGAATTTGCAGTAAAGTAGATACTCGATATCCATTGCCCGTGGCTCGAGTCCATCAGATGTGATTGGGACTCCACAAGCGATCAGAATCGGTGTCACAACACCACTTATGCACAGAGCGCCTCGTGCTCTCTTGTGGTTATTGCTGACAGCCCAGCTCTTGTATCCACACAGGTAGATCATAAGAAGTATAGAGAGATGTGTGTCATTGATTTCACCTTCGAGAGACATGTTGTTCTTCGTTTGGCGGAGAGTGCCTTTGAGAGCCATAGCGATCATCTCCATATAAGAATTAGTAACAGTCCCTGTGATCTCTCGGCAGTAGAGTACATTGGCTATAGAACTTTGGAAGTACCTGATGACAGGGCTACGTATCTGATTGCTCTTTGACCTTGAAGAATTCAACGGTACAGAGCTACCAATGGTGATCCACAAGTCTTTCAACTCTTCTCTGTCATACTTGGGCTTAGTACCCGTTCCACTGGGAAACCAAACAATTTTTCCAAGCGCTTGATTGATAACCTATACTCATGACCATACACAGAGAATCTCAAGAATCCCAATCCTTCACAATCCAACTCATCAGAGGTCATACCTTGGTAGAGCTTCACTTGCAAAGTGGAGAGGAATTGAATTGTCTCTTCTTCATATGCTACATACGGATAAGCCATCAGAGTGTCTAGATGACAACTCTGGTACAGGTGCTGAACATCCTCTAACAATCCAAGTTGTGCAAGCGTGGTCGAGCATGGATACCTTGTGCTACAAAACTCATTCAATTTGAAAAGCCTAATATATTTCTCAGCAGGCAATACATCAGGTTTGTGCGGAAGTTTGGTAGCTCTGCGAGCATGCTCAGGCATGTACTCGTCTTCCAGATCCTCATCTTTAAGCTCATACCTCTCTGTCATTGCTCGCTTCCCAAGGGCTATCTCAGCTTTTCTTCTGAAACTATCATATTCTCTTTATTCTCTCAATGGCCTTGAAGACGATGACTCTATCTCATCCATGTTGTAGTCAGGATCAACTGAAGAACTGCCACTGTAATTACTCATGATTATCCTGCAAAAGACTTAGAACTCAATAGGTTAGTTTCAAATAGAACAATCAAGCCAAAATCGTTAGCAACAGACAATATAGACCCAAACGGACAACTACAATCAAGTGCTCGAGTAACCTTAACCCTTTCCAAGTTTCTCTTTCACGGGTTGAGTTGAGTGGCTCAGATTGAATCAGGCTGAGGTTGAGTACAAGAGGTCGAGTAGAGCTCCGTTGGTCGAGTAAAGTTGAGAAAGTAGTGTGCAGATAGTGAATCAGGTTGGTCGAGTAAACCGTCGGTGAAGTTGAGTGGCTCTGTTGCAGGAGGTCGAGTGAAAATTTGTGGTCGAGTGAAAATTGTGGTCGAGTACTTCTTCGGCGAGTCGAAATTGGTGGGGATGGAACCACAACTCGGCGGTCGAGTCTTGCGTTTGTAACCGAGTAGTTCCTGAGACTTCGACTGTGAACGAGGCAGGGAACTCGATTATGGCGGCGCAGAGAAGGTCGAGTGTGGTGAGAACAAAGTGATGGCGAAGGGCAAAGTGAAACGGTCGAGTATAGCGAGGAACTCGAGTGAAATTGAGTCGAGTAACTCTTTGGTGAGAGATGGCGATACGTGGTCGAGTGATTCACAGTGAACCGGAATCGGTGGTCGAGTGAGTCGTGAAACTCGACTGAGGAGGTAGAGTAATTCTTTCAGGAGGCGGTCGAGTGGTTTCGGCGAAGTCGAATTCTGCTTAGGTTTCAGAGGTCGAGTGAAATTTCAAAAGGAGTGGTGGAGATTGAGTTTGAGATTCTCTCTCCATCTTATCCTTAGCACGTGGTCCACACTCTGTTGACTGGGAAAACTGCAGGAAATCTACTCTAAACTTGATAAACTCCTTGTAAAACTCTGTAGCTTTTGTTGGCCGAGTAAAATGATGATTAAAATTTTTTTGGGTTTTAAACATCAATCATACTCGACCAATGTACTCGAGTGCAAGGTCTGCAAGTGCAACAAAAATACTCAAGTGCAACAAAAATATTTCTAGTTCACCGGGCTATATACTCGATCTACAGGCCTTCTATAGAGTAAAAGTTTTGAATTTTTACTCTATCTCCACGTTGTTCTTTTGCTCCTGAGAACCACAAACACAAATAAGACAAATCAAAAATAACAAGAAAAGAAAAATTTATTTACAAAGATAGTCATGAGACTTCCTCCCAAGTGAGCTTGTTTAAAGTCATTAGCTTGACTCCTTTACTCCTTTAATCATCAAGAAGTTCCTAGAGATGAACCGACGTCACCTCTCGAAGGATTTGATCTGCTAAGTATTTCTTGAGCCTTTGACCATTTACTGTGAAGTCTCCACTCTTACCAGTTAGAGTGACTGCTCCATAAGGACGAACCTCAGTGATACAGAAGGGGCCACACCATCTGGATTTAAGCTTTCCTGGAGAGAGTTTTAAACGAGAGTTGAATAGCAGCACCTGATCACCAACCTGAAAATCCTTGGTGATGATCTTTTTGTCATGGAAAAGCTTAGTTCTCTCCTTGTAGATTTTAGTGCTCTCATAAGCTTCTAAACGAATCTCGTCAAGGTCACTGAGTTGGATCAATCGCTTCTCCTCAGCAGTTTTTATTTCAAAGTTCAGAAGTTTTACTGCCCACATTGCTTTGTACTCGAGCTCAACGAGTAGGTGACATGCTTTTCCATAGAGAAGGTTGAAAGGAGTTGTACCAATGGGTGTCTTGAAAGCTATCGTGTAAGCCCAAAGTGCGTCATTGAGCTTTGTAGACCAGTCTTTTCCAGAATTGTTTTTATCTCCCAATTGGAGATCTCAACCTGCCTGCTCGTCTGTGGATGATAGGGAGTGGCGACCTTGTGCTTAACTCCATGCTTCTTCAGGAGGTTCTCAAAAACCTTGTTGATGAAATGCTTCCCACCATCACTGATTACTACTCTGGGAACTCCAAATCTCGGGAAGATTATGGTCTTGAAGCTTTAACACAACTATTGCATTGTTGGTAGGACTAGCAATAGCTTCGACACACTTTGATACGTAGTCTACGGCGACCAGTGTATACTTGTTACCGTATGAAGATGGGAATGGACCCATAAAATCAATTCTCCATACATCAAAGATCTCGACTTCCAAGATTGGATTCTGAGGCATCTCATTTCTTCTACTGATGTTGCCTTTCCTCTGGCATGAATCACATTTTGAAACAAACTCTTGAGCGTCCTCAAACATTGTTGGCCACCAAAAGCCTGCTTGAAGAATTTTTGACACTGTCTTGAACGTCGCGAAGTGACCACCATATGCTGAGCCATGGCAATGCAGCAGAATACCTTCTACTTCATCTTTTGAGACGCATCTCCTGTAGATCTTATCTTTACAGAGAGTGTAAAGATAAGGCTCATCCCAGTAGTAATGGTGTATATCTCTGAAAAACTTCTTCCTTTCATAATTGGTCAGGTTGGGAGGCTCTACTCCGCATGCCAAGTAATTGACATGATCAGCATACCATGGAGATCTTCCTTCAACAACTTTCAGTTGGTGGAACTCTTTCCCATTGTAGCTCCTTCCGAAGAATTCTACAACCATGAGCTCCTCTTCTGGCATTGAATCGTCTATCAGAATGGGTTCTTCAATTCTCATCCTTGACAGATGGTCAGCTGCACCATTTTCAACGCCTTTCTTATCTACTATCTCCATGTCAAACTCTTGCAATAGAAGTATCCATCTCAACAGTCTTGGTTTAGTATCCTTATTGGCATACAGATGCCTCAAAGTTGCATGGTCTGTATAGAGAGTGACCTTTGATCCAACCAAATAGCTTCTGAACTTCTCAAATGCGAATACAACAGCTAGAAGCTCCTTCTCAGTTGTTGTATATCTTCCTTGAGGTTCATCCAACGTTCGGCTGGCGTAATATATGACATGAAGCGTCTTGTCTATTTTCATGACATGAGGTCACGCACCTCTGAAATATTGTAGGAGCATTGCATAAACCAAATGACATTCTCCTGATCATTAGGGTGAATTGGTATTTGAAAGAAACCACTATATCCATCAAGAAAGCAATAGTATGGGTGATTAGCTAAGCGTTCAAGCATTTGATCAATGAATGGTAAAGGAAAATGATCTTCCTCAATGCAGCATTTAACTTGCTATAATCGATACACATTCTATTACCACTTATAGTGCTAGTAGGGATCAATTCATCCTTTTCATTTTTAACAACAGTCATACCGCCCTTTTTAGGGACGCAATGAACTGGAGAAACCCAAGTACTATCAGATATAGGGTAGATGACACCAACATCAAGCAGTTTCAAAATTTCTTTTTTCACTACTTCTTTCAAGTTGGGATTTAACCTCCTCTGTGGTTAAACGCTAGAGTAGGATTCGTTTTCAAGGTGGATCCTATGGTTGCATAAACTAGGTTAAATTCCCTTAATGTCGGATAATGAATAACCAATTGCTCTACTATACTTTCTAAGTTCAGATAATAGCAGGTTCACTTCATCATCATTTAACTCAGCATTAATGATCACAGGGTAAGTAGAGTTTGGACCAAGGAATGCGTACCTTAGACCTTTAGGAAGTTGGAATGATCAGCTCTCCAGAGTCGCTAGCAGTCGAGATCGAGTTGTTGGTCGAGCATGTTCTCGAGTATACAGGTTGAACTCGTGTTGACCCTTCTTCGCTTATTACCATTAGAGATCCTTACTGACCTATCAACAAGGATAAGGGATATATTGCAGGCT